GGAGATCCCTTGATGGCGGACACCTTAGCCTTCGTGTCGACAGGCGTAGGAGCAGGCTTGCAGTTAAGCATGCCCGCTCGCTCCTGAAGCTCGTAGGCGTACTTCTGCTGATGTAGGAAGAAGCCAGTAACCCGGCGCACAACCTCGATGCCAAGGAAGTAGTGGAGAGCCCCCAAGTCCTTGAGGGTGAATGATACGTCTTCAACGTATCTATAATTTTTGATTGTTCCATGCTATTATATTATCAACCTTGGATGTTTTATATGCATTAATATGCTACTTTATATGACTTTTGGGACTAACCTATTAACCTAGAGCCCAGTGCCAGTTTTTGTTTTTTCGTTGATTTTGAGTATCGCAGAAAAGGAAAATCAAATGGAGTCCAATTGACCTGAAACTTCATGGAGATCATTTTTGGACCAGAAAAAGCCCACGGAGTACCGGAGCTGGGCCAGAAGAGTCCCGATGCCACCACAAGGGTGTGGGCCCCTCGTGGATCCCCTGACCGACTTCTTTCGCCTATATATATCCATATATGCTAGAAACATTGGATATCAGAATAGATCGGGAGCTCCGCCGCCAGAAGCCTCCGTAGCCACCGAAAACCAATCTAGACCCGTTCCGGCACCCTGCCGGAGGGGGAATCCCTCTCCGATGGCCATCTTCATCATCCCTGTGCTCTCCATGACAAGGAGGGAGTAGTTCTCCCTCGGGGCTGAGGGTATGTACCAGTAGCTATGTGTTTGATCTCTCTCTGGTGTTCTTGAGGTGATACGATCTTGATGTATCGTGAGCTTTGCTATTATAGTTGGATGTTATGGTGTTCTCCCCCTCTACTCTCTTGTGATGGATTGAGTTTTCCCTTTAAAGTTATCTTATCGGATTGAGTCTTTAAGGATTTGAGAACACTTGATGTATGTCTTGCACGTGCTTATCTGTGGTGACAATGGGATATCACGTGATCCACTTGATGTATGTTTTGGTGATCAACTTGCGAGTTCCGTGACCTCGCGAACTTATGCATAGGGGTTGGCACACGTTTTCGTCTTGACTCTCCGGTAGAAGCTTTGGGGCACTCTTTGAAGTTCTTTGTATTGGTGAATAGATGAATATGAGATTGTGTGATGCATATCATATAATCATACCCACGGATACTTGAGGTGACATTGGAGTATCTAGGTGACATTAGGGTTTTGGTTGATTTGTGTCTTAAGGTGTTATTCTAGTACGAACTCTAGGATAGATTGAACGAAAAAATAGCTTCGTGTTATTTTACTATGGACTCTTGAATAGATCGATCAGAAAGGATAACTTTGAGGTGGTTTCGTACCCTACAATAATCTCTCCGTTTGTTCTCCGCTATTAGTGACTTTGGAGTGACTCTGTTGCATATTGAGGGATAGTTATATGATCCAATTATGTTATTATTGTTGAGGGAACTTGCACTAGTGAAAGTATGAACCCTAGGCCTTGTTTCCTAGCATTGCAATACCGTTTACGCTCACTTTTATCATTAGTTACCTTGCTGTTTTTATATTTTCATATTACAAAAACCTATATCTACTATCCATATTGCACTTGTATCACCATCTCTTCGCCGAACTAGTGCACCTATACAATTTACCATTGTATTGGGTGTGTTGGGGACACAAGAGACTCTTTGTTATTTGGTTGCAGGGTTGTTTGAGAGAGACCATCTTCATCCTACGCCTCCCACGGATTGATAAACCTTAGGTCATCCACTTGAGGGAAATTTGCTACTGTCCTACAAATCTCTGCACTTGAAGGCCCAACAACGTCTACAAGAAGGTTGTGTAGTAGACATCAGTGAACTCAGTGCCGAGGCGAGCTGTGATCTGCTGAAGGAGCGCCGGCGAGGAGGCAGTCAGGATGATGTCATCGACGTACAGGAGGAGGTACGCGGTGGCGGGACCCTGGTGATAAACAAACAGGGAGGCATCGGACCGTATGGACCGGAACCCCTGCTGCTGAAGGAAGGCTGTGATCCGCTGGTACCAGGCCCGAGGCGCCTGCTTCAACCCGTAGAGAGAACAGGAGAGCAAGCACACGTGGTCCAGATAGTCGGTGTCGACGAAACCAGTAGGTTGCTGACAGAACACCTGCTCGTCGAGATGGCCATGCAAAAAAGCATTAGACACATTGAGCTGGTGAACTAATCAGGCGCGAGAAACAGCAAGCTGGAGGACAGCGTGAATCGTGCCCGGTTTGACAACTGGGGCGAAGGTGTCGGTGAAGTCCACCCGACACGCTGGCGAAAGCCGCACACCACCCAACGCGCCTTGTAGCGCTCGAGAGAGCCGCCGGGGCGAGTCTTGTGGCGGAAGACCCACTTGCCAGTGATCACATTGGCACGAGGAGGCCGCGGGGCAAGATGCCATGTAAGGTTGTGCTGCAGGGTGTCAAACTCCTCACGCATCGCAGCAAGCCAGTTCGGATTCCGAAGGACTGCGCGAGTGGAGGTGGGGAGTGGAGACGGTGCCGAGGTAGATGCAGCACACGCGTACTCGTCAGACGTGTAGCGCGTGCTAGGACGAAGTGTCCCAGTCCGAGCCCGAGTGACCACACCGGTGAGGGGTGCGGCCGCGACGACGGGGCGGACGAGGGGTCGCGACGGGGGCCGCCGAGGGGGGGCGGCCGAGGAGGCCGCGGCGACGGGGGCCCCTGAGGGGGCCACCAAGGGGGCCACAACGGGGGCCATGGCGACGGGGGCGGACGAGGGGGCCGCGGCGACAGGGGCGGCCGAAGGGGCCACGGCGACGGGGGCCGCTGGCGCGGGGAGCGCGGGCAGGGCCGAGCCCAGTGCGCGGCTGGGCGGTTCGCCAGAGGAGGAGGAAGGGGCGAACCGCGCCGCGGGAGACGCCGAGGGTGACGACACCTACTGAAACGGGAACACCGGCTCATCAAAGTACACATGCCGCGAAGTGAAAACGCGGTGGGACACTAGATCATAGCACCGGTAACCTTTTGTGTTGGGAGGATAATCAAGAAAGATGCATGGAAGCGACCGGGGAGCGAGTTTGTGAGGAGCAGTGAACGCGGTGCTAGAATAACAGAGACACCCGAAAATGCGAAGACCATCATAAGATGGAACCGCACCGAAGAGGAGCTGGTGAGGAGTGTAGTTCCAGCGCGAACGACACGGGCGGATGTTAATGAGAAGGCTGGTGGTCGCGAGCGCGTTTCGCCAGAACCGAGGAGGCACGTAGGAGTGGAAGAGCAACGTGCGGACACAGTCATTAAGGGTGCGAATGACGCGCTCGGCGCGACCATTCTGCTGTGACGTGTAGGGACAAGTGAGGTGAAAAATGTTGCCGTGCGACGCAAGAAGATTGCGGACGGCGACGTTATCAAACTCCTTGCCGTTGTCAGTTTGCAAGGCGAGAATAGGACGACCGAACTGTGTGGTGACATATGAATAAAAAACTGTGAGTGTGGCAAGAGCGTCGGAGTTGCGACGAAGAGGAAATGTCCACACATAATGAGTAAAATCGTCCAATGTCATCAAATAGTATAGATAACCCGCGTTGCTCGCAACCGGGGACGTCCAAACATCACTATGCAATAACTGAAACGGGAAGGTGGAAATGTTTGTAGACTCGCTAAAGGGAAGACGAACGTGCTTGCCAAGATGGCAAGCCTCACAGGTGTGGTCATCAACCTTATTACATGAGAAAGAAAAACTCTGAAGAAGGATCCCCATCATATGATCATCAAAAGCTCCTAAGGAAGAAGGATCTACCTAGATTATCAAGGCCTCATCTCCTTTGGATTTGAGAGAACCTTACCTTTGTGCTATGTTTCCTTAATTGTTCATATTATATTTGTGGATCTCATGTATGCTATTTTATTGGGTGTGTGATTTGAGTTTGTTTGAGTGATTTTCTTTTTGTGTTCTTATTGTTCTTCCCCTTTCCCCTCTCCATTTATAAAAAGATCATGAACTATGGTTCCATCCTACATCACGTGGTCTACGCTGTGACTAGCGAGGAGTGTAAAGAATGATTTGGTGCATCGATAATTGATTGATCGTGCACTAGACACATATATATAGATACAAGAGGTGCGACCGGTATTTTGTCTCCCAAGATACAAGTAAATACGGAGGGAGAGAGACACTATGTGTGCGGCATACAAAATTCAGACCTACCTACATGTGCACATGTTCAACAAGGAGTACGAGCAACAGATGGTGGTCATGCCCCCTCGCTCTATCCTCCACGTGAACGATCCGGCCTGCAGAGAGCTTTTTTCATGCCATTACCCTTTGGAAGCGAAACTCTGTGTTTGTATGGGTGGTTTCTCATTTTTCATGCCGTGTGTTAAACTGAATATTGTTGAGATGGATTCCATCATTGTAGTCAAGTTAGTTCAGTCACAGGAACTAGATAGATCGATTCACTCCTCTATTGTTACAGAGGTCAAGCACCTTATGTATCTTCATGAAATTTGTATTACTTGTGTTAGCCGTACTCAGAATAAGGTTAACAATAGTTTAGCTAAGTTCGCGACAACCGAGGGCAGAACTATGACTTGGGTTGGTTCGGGTCCCCCAGTTTCTTTAGAGCTTGCTCAAGCTGATTGTAATGGCCAAGTGACTTGAGCAATACTACATTGTTTACAGCCGCAAAAAAGAAAAAAGAAAAAAAAGAGGGAGTACATGACATTACTACAAACTGACAGTTAGAGTTATACAAAAAATAAACAGTAGAAAAAAAGAACCATATAAACAGAAAGAACATAGCCATGTACATCCATCGTTCTCCAAATATTTCTGAAACCCTTAGTGACTTGTCTCAATGCAGCATCTCAAATCAAAGCCTTTTGAAACCTCTACAAAACACATACTATATGTTTTTCTACAAGTAGCCGAAAACGAATGGCTGAATCCTGTCACGCAAACCTCACACACCTTCATTGGCATCTCTACAACAGCAGTAGCTTCAGCACAACTTTATAGCCGTCAGATGCATCATCCAGAGTTACGGCGCCGACAACCCGCGATCTAGAGAAAGCTCCACTAGATCGACCTCCACTTGACACAATCCATCTTGAGGAATGTCCATTTTGCTACGACCATTGCTCGGCTGCGCCTCTTCTTCAAGTTGCTCGAACAGCGAGTTCATCTCCTCGACCGAGACATTGACAACTTCTACGACAGGAAGCTCGTCAGAATAAGTAGCCAATGTCTCATTTGGTTCAGACATACCTGCAGTCTGCTGCTCTCCTGCGGTTGACAGCTCTGAACTCTGCTCGTATACCACAGGCAATGCTTCGCTCGATTGGTCTCGAATCGACTCACTGTGGCCATTGAGCCCAGAGGCAGCACAGGTCGTCGGTGCTGCTTCATCGGCTGTCAAGAGCTGAAAATTCAATTCCTCGATCGAACTCGCTTTGTTGGCATGCATCCACGAGTCCGAAGATAATGGGGCACTCGGTATAGCTTCAGGCTTGACTCCCAAGGGCTGACAGACACTGCCCTCTGAAACGGACTGCACCAGCACCTCCTCCATACGGCACCTGAACAGTGAGTTCATTTCACTCATGGAGTCTGCTTCCACACCGTGCGGTTCAGAATCATGTGCTCCGGGTAATGAGGCTGCATCATCTCTGGCATTAGCGTTTCTGTTTCCTTCGTCTGTTTCTTGATTTACCTCTCCCAGCACGCCCACGTCTGAAATTGCGGCACTTAGTATTTTCATCTCTTCGCCTAAATGTGCTTCCAGCAAACCAAATAGCTTACCATTGCTCTCTTCTTGCTCAGCATCGCCGTCCGAGTGACTATCGCCCATCTCACCATTGTGACATGGCAGATAAGTAGAGTGATTTTGTCCAAAAGAGTTCCTGTACTTCGTGTTTTGTGCTTGCGCTGATGGAAAGTGCGAGCGAGGAGTCCAAGTTTCCTGAAATCGACTGTGCTGGTGCACGACTCGGTCGAACGGAAGATCAAATAGGTTTCGCCGTCGAAGGAGAACTGATGGTGCTGAGCCAGGAATCTGCGGCAACTCTATCGATTCCTCAGAATCTCTTGAAGGGTTGAATGGGTTATGCCTTGGTGTGCAAATGGAAGGGACCTGAACACGGAATCTTGATGCATCCTTCAGCTTCCGAGTTGCGTCAGCAGCTTGCAGGTCAATTGACCTCATGTCAAGCTCAAACTTGAGCATGTTCTTTGCTCTTTGAAGCTCCACCAGATTCCCCAATTTATCATTTTGCTCCATATCCAAACAATTTAGCTGAACAACATCCTTCCAATTAACTCCGTTATCTTGCTGCCGTTCCGCTCCTTCATCATCATCTGAGCTAACGCTGTCGTCCTGCTCCTCCGCCTCCTCAAGGTCATATTCATTTTCATCTGATGAGGAATTCAAGTTCTCTCTGGAGGCCAAGGAAAGCTGACCAGTCCCTAAATTTATCAGTGGGTGCAGGTCCTCAAGCATTGGGATAATGTCGGTCATTGACGCGTCAGGAGAAGAGCTCTCATCAGTAAGATCAGATTCAGAGCCACAGTAAGGAAGATCCTGCCTCATAACAGGTTGCCAACATGATCTCATGAATTCACCAAACTGATACTGATAGTGTACACCGTCGTTACAGCTTCCAGTACAGGTGCTTTCAGGCTCTTGCAGCTCGGCCTTCTCGCTGATTTCCTTGGCGCGCTCTTCGCATTCCATGGTGCCATTGATCTCAGGATGGTTACAAGGCTCTGCACTTGGAACAGTATCATCTGCCACAAATGTGACCCTTTTCTCTTCACAGTGAGTATCATGCAAATTATCACTGGGAGTTGTTTCCTCCTCAACATATGCTTCACTAAGAACAGCAGCATCAGAGGCAATGTATGTGACATTTTTGTCTTCGCACAGAGCGTCGTGCATACAATCATCGGAAGCTCTCTCCCTGACATGTACTACTTCACAGCTGTCAGTCTCAGTTCTCTTCTCCAACTGAACCTCGACAGCAATATTCTCAACCTCTTTGTCTGAACAGCCGCTAACATGAATGTTGGATTTAAGGGACAGAGATTCATGCTCCTCCAGTGTCTCCTCTCCATCCAAGGGCACAGCAGCTTCACCGTAACTCAAAAGCGCTCCGAGAAGAAGCGCGGTTAAAACGATGACCGGAGAGGAAGACAGCACAAAGGCGAACAGAGGAGGACACAGAGCATGAAGAAACAACAACGCTATGCCGGCGCCGAGCGCTTCAGGGTGTCGGCAAGCAGAATGATACCCAAGTCTGATGGAGGAACGCACTAGTCTCCTGATGCGCAGCACGAGATTGTTCGTATCAAAAGCCATAATTTTCTCTCCTTGGATTTAGCACCGAGAGCTGACCTGGTAACAAAAGGAATGAGAGAAGCGGGTTATTTCTATTGTACCATTGGTGATGATTCAGACGAGCGAGCTAGTCGAATCGTGTAAAGGCGAATCAAAATGCGCAAATAAGGTGACCATGCGAGCATTATTTTAGGAACAGATCAGTAAAAGCAACACGTTTAGCGCAACAAACACTTCATCCCTAGTCCCGTAGAATTCAACAGGTGGTACTAATTTGGTCAGGCATTTCTGAATCCACTATTAATTTTCAGTTATAAGCGCCTGATATCAGCCGCAAAAGAGAGACAGGAAAAAAAACGGCAAATGGAATCTAGCAGGGTTGAGAAAATTGGACGGGCAGATCAAACTAGGGGAAGCAAAAGCAATGGCACTTTGGCCCAAGAACATATCAGCAGCAGAGCTCGGCAAGAAGCACACACCTTCGACGGCGGCGGCGGCGGCGGCGACAAGAACACGAAAGTCCGGAACCCTCGGCTGCCTGAAGCAGGTGAAGGTAGGGTGGAAGGGGAAAGCCAGGAACGAAACCCGAAGGATGGAGACAGGAGACAGGGCGCTGCTCTGCCTCTGCCTGCCTCCCTGCCCTTTTTTCCTTAGGATTCTTTGCTTTGGTCGACTTTTTCTTTAGCTGTCGTGCTCACCTCACCTCATTATTTCCTCCTTCAAAACAGCGCCGCGCATCTTCTCTCTCACCTGCCCTGAGTTCGTGCAGATTATGGTTGCGTCTTTATCTCACCATGCAGATCATTGGCTCGGAAGACTGTTATTGCATTCTTTTTCCAAGAAAAAATAAACCAGGTCAAATGTGCCATTTGGATTTCTGGATTCTACTAGTGACTGAATTTTGCAGATACAGAGTGTGCAGAACGCGCTGAACTCTGCCCTTGTCATTAACCTCTTCTTCCCATGCGTAGGGTACTACTACTACTATGATGATCATGGAGCATCATCATTCATGTGCTCCACTTTTTTTGGTGTGGGGCATCTCTATGACTGGATGCTGGCTAGATTGACAACCAGGAATGATAAACAAGAAGGAAAGCCAGACAAGAGAGGGGCCTCAACAGCTCAAGCCCATTTCATCCCATGTTCTGTCCTACTGTAGAACGTATGTAACTGTTCATGATGAAACTGTAATTTTTGTCTACAGTAAAAATGTTTGACTGGACAGCCACGACTTTCAACATGCCTTGACACTAGAACCAGGCTGCAGACTGTGACTAGTATTGCTTATCGTTGAATCAGTGGTAACTATGCTTAAGCGGTGTTAATTTCGCGTTAAATGAAAAGGCACCAACAGGAGCAAGGTTTAGCTGTTGGTGTGCGAACAACTAAAAATTGATACGAAAAACATCGCTTAAGGGAGAGGACATCTTCTTAGGTGAGGCTTTGTGTTGTACTCGCTCCGTTCACCATCATAAGATGTTCTAACTTCTTTCCGAATCGCATTTATATAGACGCATTTTAATGTGTTTGTTCATTCATTTTAATCCGTATGTAGTCCATATTGAAATATTCAAAATGTCTTATAATAGTGAAAGGAGGGAGTAGCATTTATGGTTCTAAAAAGGTAGAAAAGAAGAAAAAAGTACATATACGGTCTTCAATATGCTGCCATCTCACCCATCTCAACTCGACTGGATGGCACAGATAAAGAGACTATATGAGCTCGGGGGCTGTTTTGAGTTTCTGTATTCAGGACATATTGTCCTGGATATCACCTTTTTGAATTCTCACATTATGAGCACACCAAATAAAGCTACATGTTTAAGTGCTTGTGTTTGAGAAAAATGAAGATTATAAAAGAACACACGAAAACATCTTAGATGGTTGTTAAAAACCACTAATTGTCGAGGGAAAAAACACATAGACTTTATCGCGAGGATTTCATACCATAGTTTACGTCTCCGATCGATCTTGTCATATTCATCGACAAAGTAGAAGGTCAAATGCCGATCAGCCTCTCCATGGGTGGAAACTGACTTGCAAAAGTGCTAACTACTGAACAACACCCGACCAGAGTCTATCACATCGACGGTGACCGGAACCCACACACTTATATCCATGTCTGCCTTGAGAACTTCAACCTTGAGATTGTAGGAGCAGGAATATGATGGATCTTGTCGATGCTACCTCACCATCAACAACTTATCGCTTGGCTCAAGGAGGTGTCATTCGCTAGAGATGCAATATTTAGGCTCATGTGGTACCTCCTCGTCCGTCACTATGTTGACGTTGTCTGGCGTGATGCCATCACCATTGAATGTGTCGTCCTCTGCCTTCACATGCTTCAAATCTTCCTCATCCCTGCTACTCAATATTATTAGATTACCGCTGACGTCGTCCCCATTACTTGACACTTCTTCGCCGTAGTCATCACCGTCCTCCTCATCATCATCATCCTTGTCATCATGAACAACAACATCATCGCTGCTAGAATCGGCGTTGTCATCATCATTGCTTGACACATCAACGTCATCACCCTCATCTTCATCATGGCTTCTTGGGTTCTGATTACATGCTTAACATTCACAACTGCAGGACTTTCGTCGTCTTCCTCACTTGGATCTAACATGAAGAGACCCTCGCTTTCAATGACCCATAGTGGCTATCTCCAAGGAACGCGGTGTCAAAGATGCGAGCATACGACTTTGCTCGTGGCTTGGGCTTCTAAGCGCCCGACTTTCAAGTCAGCTCAAGCCGGCAGCATAGGTACCTTGTGGATTTGGAACAGTTCAATAGTGATGGCGATCCGGCCCGAGCGGAACAACTACATGGCCGATTATAGAGCCAAACCCAGGAAGTGGAACGGTTGTGCCGGGGAAAAGATTACGCAAACAGTACGTGCGCTTGCCTCCAAAAATATCATCTGCTATGTGAAGGGCGAGCCAACAGCCGTTGGTGATTCTTGTATTGCTGGTTAAGAGAGGAAGGC